GGGGGGGGGTGGGGCGCTGCTGAGCAGATGAGTGACAGCCTGTCTCCTCGGGTGGGCGGGCCGTGTCCGCGGGTTGCTGTCCCACCGCCGTCCAGGGTCAACAGTACTTCTGTGGGGACACAGAGAGACAGAGAGGGTGATGCAGGGTCAGTGAGAGTCAGAGAGAGGGGAAGCGGCCGCGCCGAAGAACGTCAGCGTCCCAAACGAGCAGAACGGACTTAAAACGGGGGCCGCGCCATAAATTCACTAATGGCCAGGAGCTCAATTATTTACCCGCCGGGTTACAGCAGCCTGACACTCACATAAATCAAAGAAGGGGTGAGTGAAGGTCTTTGGGGAGGGGGGGGGGCAGCTTTACCTGGAAGGTGGGGCAGAGCGCTCGCTGAAATATTCATGTGCTTTTTATGAGGTTTAAAAGCTTTCACTCCGCCTTGGTGGGTGAGACGGGGCAGAGATCACGCAGGGGGTGCTGGCTGTGTTTCCACCTGTTCTGGGGGGTGGGGCAGGTTCTGGACACCGAGGATAGTCTAAATGTGCTCCTTCAGTTACTCCCACAGCAGAGCATTTGCCAGTGATGGGATCAGAACAAAGTGACACCCTGCAGGGTCCCACGCCCCTCAAACGGCGTGTACACGGCTTGAGAGTGCAGTGTAAAAATCACATCACACCCCCCAGCCACGCAAGGAGATCAAGATGAATTATTCACTGGTGCCTGGTCCCAAGACAGGCCCGATTAAGCGGGCCCACACCTATATGGGCTTGAGGATGAGGTCAGCCACTAATCACACAAACACCCATAAATCTGGGGTGGGTGAGCCCCCCCATCAGCAGCCTGTTGCTGTTGAATCCCTTCATCTCCTGATCTCTGTAGTGGATGAAATTAAAGTGTCTTTTTAAGTCTTTGAAGGGGTTGTGGGTTCACGGCCCAAGGAAGGGACCCGCTCTATCACTGAAGAAAGTACATTTCCAATGTAGAAAGTCAAAGAGGTCACAGCCCAAGGGTGGGTGAGACCTACCTGCTCGGGGCCCATTGAGGGCAGGCCGGGGGTGGGCACAGAGCCCATGGGGCCCATGCCCACCTGGCCAGGCATCTGGCCCATGCTGTTCAGGCTGCCGGGCACGTTGACATTCATGCCCCCGCCGCCATTGTAGACGCCTCCATCGGACTGCTGGCCGAACTGGGGGGGCGACTGCTGGGGGAACATGCTGCCCCGCAGAGAAAGAGGATGCGGACATTAAAGGCAGGTTCGGTATCCCCCCCCCCCCCCACCTCACGGGTGGTGTAGCCTGACTTACCCTGTGCCGCTGACGTTGCCCTGCGCCCAGCCGTTCACGTCCGGGGAGCCCTGGTAGGCGGCGCCGGCCTGCGCCTGCTGCATCAGGGGACTCTGGGCATGGCTCATCCTGGGGGACATCAGTGGGCTCTGGGGAGTTGTGGCCCCCCCGAACCCGGCATCCGGTTGCTGATTCATACCTGTGAGAGGGGCAAGGAGGGGGAGCCTTCAACAGGCGGCATGAACTGAGCACGCACACACCTGACACCCCTCAGACACACACACACACACACACACACACACACACACAGTTAATGTATTCCTATCATTGTGGGGACACCCGTTTATTTCTATGGGCATAACTATAATCCTAACTATGACAACCTTAACCCCCACCCAGCCCTAACTTTAACCATAAGTAACCAAACAAAATGACATCTTATACTTGCTTTGACAGATTTTTAAAAAAGTAACAGGTGCCCACAATGGTAAATACAGATCTACCATTCACAGACATACACACAACTGTGTGTACAGTGATGTGACAGTGTGGGGACAGCGCCCTCTGCTGTTCAATGCCTCTCCATGCTATGGCAAGGAGTCCAGTCTGACGGGTTGGCACAACTCAGAAGCAATTTAGCATCAGCTAGCTGAAGGCAGCAGACAGGCTTGTTTCTGGGGTGACACCCTGTTGGAAAAGCTCCGGAAATGTGCATGTCATTGTTAAATATGAGCATGCGGGACTAACTGTGATGGAAGGTGAGCTCGGGGACAGCAGCGCTTCACAAGGAGCTGCAAATTCAGCTTCACACCCGTGTGTAAATCAACATTTTCCCCATCATACATAATTAATAACAGAAAAATAACAAACATTAATAACAGACAACATGACCATAACGCAGACTTCAGCTACTGCACTTAAACAATACTCAATCATACGTTCATCTGCTTTTCCCTCTCAGCTGAAACT